AAAAAAAAAAAAAAAAAAAAAAAAAAAAAAAAAAAAAAAAAAAAAAAAAATATATATATATATATATATATATATATATATTTTATTCTGTTTTACTTACTTTTGTTTTCCAAAAACTTCTTGAGACAAATTAAGCAAACACGTTTGAAGTTAGGATTCTTTATTCAAAATCGTATAATGTAAGATGCCTTGTTTAATTTTTAGGGTCTTAAAACATATGTTTTCTTTTTAAATTCAGATATAATATGAACAGAAACTCAACATTTGAACTTGCCCATGGATCATGCTCTTTCGCAGAAAATATGGGAGAGAATTCAAAGCTCTAATCACAAGTTTAAACTTAATTAAGATCACAACAGGACATTATTTCTTCTTTTTTTCAGCATAATATAATAACATAACATTATGCCCGAAAAATAAAGATAGTGTCAACTCAACATGCCAATATCTTACAGATATCTGTCAAACATATTTTACCTTTAGCGACATATACATCTATAAGTTGAAAAATCGCATTGCTACCCGGGATGGAGGTAGAAATCTAAATATGGGTTCGGCCGAACTCAATAACTTTTGATTAAATAATATATTTGTATTAACTATTAAAAAAATTATTAAATATGTACAAATATTAAATTTAGAACATAACTCTTAGTATTTAAAATTGTCATTCTAAAATTCAAAACCCATAAAAATTGAAATCGTGGTTCCGCCTCTATTGCAAAAAAAAAAAATTAGATTAAGTTTTCAAAATCCAATTTTCCTTTGAATGATTCTGCCGACAATGAATATTCATGAGACAAAAATAAAGACATGTCTTTGCATGCGTCAACATCAAACATATTGGATATTTGCAAAGTTATTTGTCCCTCCTACCTTTCTTCATCTATTGAATTGAATTTTGCATATAGAAACCACATCAGATTTCAGTCTACTTCTTTCCTTTTCTTGGACAACTATTTCAATGTATTATGGATAGAACATAAAAATCAACCAATGCTTTATAACATTGAAAATGTAACTGTGAAATAGATTTACCTTCTACTAACTGACAGCTAAAAGAACACTTACATAATCAAATCATCTAAAAAAATAAATACAATTAATTGTTCATACCAAGTGGGATTAAAAACTAGAAAATATAACAAATTACTGCTATAAAAAAGTTCAAAAAACACTAAAAAATCGTTAAATTTTTGTGTATACATGGGGTTAAATCCAAGACTAATCGTACTTTTCTTTCCAGGAGTAGACAAGAAAGAAAACCCAAGAAATTCCCAAAGCAATGTCCCCAATAACAAGCCTCACCCAATCAACACCAAGATCCTCAACCTTTCTCTCAAAGTAAATTCTCCAAAAAGCCATAGCTACGTGAAGAAAAACACAACCCTTAGCAAAAAAACTATGGAATTCTGTGTCTTTTACAAATGCGACCATCAACAAAAGAAACCCAACTGCAAACAAAAGTAGACCCGAAAATGAATCTGATGTTCGAATTATCAACTGATCATGAGTTGTTGATCCTAGCAATTTACTGGCCCTTTCACTCCCATGACTAAATACATATACTTCATTGCCACAAAACATCATCAAAATTCCACAAGTTAAGGCCACCAAAGAATGAAGCATACACAATAGGAAAAAACCAGATGACCCCATTGAGAAAAAACTACTTCTTGACCAACTCTATAAAGCTTCAATCTTTAAGAATGTAACAAAAGATCATTACTCAATCCATTTGACAGAGTACAAAATAATTCACAAAAATCAAATCTTTGGATCCAATACCCAAATGCTCAACGGGTAAAAGGGGGTGAAGAAAGGAATATGGTTAAGGTTTTAGTAGTATATAGAGAGAGCGTTTCAGAATTCAAGAGAACAACTAATGTGGCTACTTTAGTACAGCTAATTTGACACTTAAAATAACAAAAAAGAAGAACGTTTCAGTCACTAACTTCTCTTATTCACCTTTCTCTTTTTGTTTTCAGATTTCATTTGTTTCCTTTTTGTAATAAATGATTAGTATTCGTACTGACATGGACACTGGTGTGTCCAATACGAAACGGATGCAAAACACGTACGTATTATTTTTCTAAATTAAGACATAATTTTAAGGAAATAATCCCCAAGGGGTTAATTTCCATTATGATTTTACCTTACATAGGCCTTTCTCAGACCCAAAAATGTATAGATGATTGGAAAAGAGAGAAATAATGATAAGAAAAAACGACTCAGATAAAACAAAATACCAATATTATGTGACATAAAAGACTACTTTCAACATACGTTTCACCCGCTACTTTCAATATTATGCGTTCTGATCCTTGTATTGCATTTGCGTATACAAAGTTATTAAATAGGGAAATAATTTCTATACATCCCCTGTCCATTTTGGAGCCCAATTAAAGGATGTCCAATCTGGACATGATTTCAACACCATCAATTTGGATATGATTGTCATTAGACCATACGCTTATGCATCCAATGCCCAAGCATACATATCATGTTCGTGCTAACAAGAAATCCAGCACGAAAAGTTGGTCTTCACTCTGCCGTGTTACTAGCAGAAAATATGTTTAGATATAAAACAAGAATCAGCCAACCTATTATTTCAATTAGTGATATCTACAATGTAAATTGAATTGATATTCACAACTTTCAAAAAAAGCAAAACCAATTTCTTTCTTCGCGCATTTGACAAGTACCTATCAAAATTGTCCTAATCTTGCTGAACAATAAGCAACAAATAGGTTGAAAAAAGAGAGCATATTCTTTTTCCTTTTGCAGCAAAAGAGGAGCAGCCGCAAGGGGGGCAAGAAAATCAAAAACTACTGCCTCCCCTACTCCCAGAACCAACTTTGCGATGTCGTCTTGAATTAGACTTCCTTTCACCTCTTCCACGCTTTGGATTTCTTCTCACTGGAAATTTAATAGAAAAATGATCACGAACCAACGCGGGTGGAGGATGAACTCTCACAACTGTCATGTGAGCCCTTTGCTCCAGTAAATCTCTATGGTATGCCTGCAAAGATTTGGTATAAACACTCTTATACTATGAGAAAGTAGAGGATGTAATACGCAGCAAAAATTAAGGCAAATAACTAGATAACCATAAAAAGTGGAAAGGTAATATCCAACTTTCCCCAGCTTTAGAATAAAATACTGTTCATCTTCTCCGACCAAAGAAATATTCCCATACCTTTAATATTGAGTCCATGTATATCTTCATCTATGACTCATTTTCTGCATCTATGAGTCCAAAATTCACGATTTTTTTTTTCTTTTCCTTTTTCCTAATGGGTAAGGTCCACCACAAACCTGATACCAGCTAACGAAATTAAAGGAAATCTAAGTATCCTAAAGAGCAAGTGAAGAGAATTGCTCTTGAACAGATGACTTAGGAAGAGAAATGATTCCGAGAATTTAGAGAGAAAAGGAGAGATATTCCATTGAGAATCTAATACAATTGAATTGAGCATTACAATAGCTGTGATTTCAGCTTATATGAGAGGAGTTCAGCTGTAACTACTTGTAACTAACTCGTAACTAACTTGTAACAAACTAACAAACTATAACTAGCTTCCGGAAAACTAACTATCTAACTAACTTCTGCACACGTGCATCTCACGTGACTGCTTATCAGCTCCCATTTTATTCTAATCGTAACAAAACCCCCTTGCCCATGAGTCAATACTAGTACTTCTTTGCTTTGTGTAGGAGTCAACATTCCTCATCACATTATGATCCACATTCTAGGTATTTGGAAGTCAACTGACCACCTAACAATTGCCAAGAATTCTTGGCATGTGTAAACAATTTGAGTTACAGACGCCCTCAAGATTTATGTAGGCAAAATTACCTACTTCCCTCAATATAAAACAAAAGTTCATCATCTCCCACCTCTTTTCCATTAGGACATGTAGTTATAACAAAAAATGTGTAGAGATGTGTACAGATGAGAAGGGCAGCCAAAAATCAAAAGAAACGCACACAAAAGTAATTTGGAACAGTTCTCACAGAAAAGTCCTACATACTAACCAAGGAAATATTTTGGGCCAGTAGAAACTATAAATGAATCATATGATACTTAAAACAACATATGCATATGGTTATCCACCTTTGCTGAAGAAAAGGAAAGGCAAATAAAAAGCAAAAGAAAAGGGAGGAGGGAAGAAATAATTTTTAGATTTTGTATGGAATAAGGAAGATGTTCTGCTGTGGATACCTGTATCACAAAATTTCGCCTCTCACAATCCAAAAACATGTTGATGTTCCAGCTAACCTTTGCCATCAATTTGTCCCTAACGGTGGAAAAGCTCAACTGGTCCCTTGAGGTAAAACGATCAACCTCATTGAACCACAGACAGGTGAAAAGATTTGTGATGGGAATATGTTCCTTTATGATAACACATCCTTCAGGAACATCTGAAAAAAGTTTGCTAAGTTAATTACATTTTGAGAGCGAGTGGGCAAATGAACATAAGGTGTACAGGGACCCACCACTAGTAATAGGAAGCTTAGCCTCCGAATATGCAGTTAAACCTTCTTTCCTGTAGAAGCCAATTTGGTGGTCAATGGATACATTATCATACTTCCCAGCAGCTTTATTAGCTTCAGCTTCTTCAAAGACGTCAAACCGTCTATAATGTCTTGAAATTGCAAAAGTAGCATTCTGGCGCCACAAGAATCTGAGGTAAGGAATAGAAAAGAAGAAACTCATGAAACTGAGTAAGTAGAGATGAGATACTGAAACTAGAAGGTATAAACCAACAAAAAGAATGAATGACTTGTTCTGCAGGCAGAAGAATGCAAGAGGGAGCAAACCAAATGTACCTCTCAAGAATCTGGTAAGGATCCACAACGAGCTGAAGCTTTCCATCTATCCAAATTGAATAGCGGACATTAGGAAAGAGCCTATGTAGTAGGAGCTTAGGTACCTGCCAGAGATACATCTCTTTCAAGCAAATTCATAAATCACATGTTCTTTAAAATCCAAACTTAACAGTTGAAAGAGTTTCCGAAAATATAATCCATGAAAGAAAGATACAATGGTGTCAAATCACATTGATATCTAATTCACGTGTTCTTTAAAATCCAAACTTTGTTGATGAAAGATTTCTGAAAATATAATGGAAAAATGACACTGTATAGGCGCTGTAAAAATAATAGCCGAAAAAATGTATAAAATTTGTATATTTTTTGTATATATATACATTATGTATGGTATATACAAAAATTATACAAATTTTATACTTTTTCGGCTATCATATGTAAATAGCTTCTGACGCGGGCTAAAAGTGATAATACCCCAATTATAATCCATGAAAGAAAAAAAATACAACGATGTCAAATCACATTGATATCAGATGAATGATAACGGTTACAGCGTATATTCTATTACATCTCGGAATGTTGGTTTTTCTCATCATTTTGTGGAAGAAAGATTAAACTATTACAGCAACAGGGAATCGATCAAAAGAGCGAATCCCTCAATCTGCTAACATTCATTTCAAGTTAGAAACTTCAGTAGGTGACAAATAGAAGGATGTGCACTGAGAGGTGTAAAAAATTAGCTCAACCGTTAATATGGTGATAACAACAAAATCCACAATAGATACTTTATTTTACTAAAAGGTAAAAGCAGTACATGACTACCCAAGTTCATTGCTTTTTTGTGGGGTTTCTTACAAACAGCATGGTCAGAATATAGTGCTTTTCATAACTAGACGCAAGATCAAGCACTGTGTATCATGCAGGAGAAACTGGAACGAGATATCTCCCCATCATTCGTATCCTACTTTCTCATAATATGATATTTTTTTCCCCAACAGATGTAAACATATGGGTGTAGATGCAAAGCTGATGCCTATGGAAAATGGTTTTCTGTTAGCAGAAGAAACATCCTTATTTTTTTCCAATCCTGTTAAGAATATTGTAAATATACTGCAGTGACAATTAAGGAGATCCGTTATCAGTTAGGATCCATTACGATAATTCTTCTCTCATATTATGCGTTCATTATATTCCCTCCTATATTAGAACCCGTGAATATTGCTATTTAAACTCTAACAGCTTGAGGGAATAATCAAGCTGGTTAATCCCGAAATTCTCTTTCCTCTTCTTCTTTTTCTAAATGGTATCGGAGATAGTAGATCCATTCTCTCTGTTAACTGTTTTATATTTAAGTAAAGATTTCAGTAAAGTTCACCGAACCGCAAAAATCAAATATGGCCATCATTACCCCTATAGAAGAGCATTCTCTCACCTCACAGCCACCCTATTTCCAAAGTACATCATCAATGACAACGAGCAGTAAAGTACATGCTGAGTCTTCTCAAATTACTGCTGACAGACCGACTCTTTCAACCGCTCAGACATCCATCCCCTTCGCGCTTCGCCCGCCCTATCCATCCGCGCGCTGGCAGGTAGGGGCTTATCTATGTGATTCGCTACGCTTGCCTGCGCCTATCGGCTGATTCTATTGCCTGCCGGTTTGACATCATGCGGCTACACGTGGCACATCTCCAGCCAACATCTTCCATCCACGATCACTCCACAGGGTCGCCTGAGTCTCCAAACCCCTATAGTTCATCATCTCCTTCAGAATCTCCTCAGATCAAGTTCAAATTGCTCAAACAATGACCTGGGGGTCAACTACTCCAGGTTTTCCCCATTTCACTCGCTTAGGCAAAAATTTCAGTAGAATTTCTATATCACCTTTGGAGTTCCTAGGAGCCTGTTACATTGATTTGCGACACTTACTGTTTTTGCTTTGCCCTTTCCCTCTCTGTTCATAACTGTATTATTCGTGGTTCTTTTTTGTATTTTGAAGATGCTTTCTTGCTTCATCACTTAGTAGTTTTTTTAAGGGTCCGAAAAAGAGAATATGACACAAATCAAACTGAAAATCTCGTTCATTCAATGGAATGACATGAAGAGATATGTTAATATCAAAGCTCACAACTTTTACCTGCACATGTGCAAAGCTACAGAGACAAACAGGAGAAGAGTATGTTCTGCTTAGTGATGTGAAAAAGTGTAACGACAAAGAGACTTCTCAATGCAGACTACAATGGGTTCAACCAAACCCCTTGTATCCAAAAAAAATTTAAAAATACTTCCACTTTTAAGACAAATGATATTATCTTCCAGTATCTTGGTTTTCCATGTTTTCTACAAGGAGTGAACAGAAGGATTTAGAGGAAAACTAGGAGAGCAAACCTTTCCATTGCGTCTAGCATCAGAATAAGGCACATTGCGAACCAGAATAATCCTCCATAAACCAACCCTATTCCTGCTGTCCAAGAGACTAGAATTCTTCAAGTATGCCTCTGTTTCTTCATCAACAAACATATAAAAGGGAACATTTTCTCGTGCTATTTCACCAGCGTTCTTTGGCTGTTGAATCACATCATAATTTCCTGTAAGAGCGTTTATGCAGATACTAGTAAGGCATAAAAAATCACAGTGCTGCCTGATGCAAACACCACAATATTTACACATTTTCATGCTTCTTGAGCAGCCACAACACAAAGGATACCTAAGCAGACTAGAGAGAATAAGGAATCCTCAGTAATTCTGTAGGAGATGCATCATATGCTAATATGTTGCATCGTCTAAAACTCCAACACAATGTCAAACTGATTAAAGATTAAAAAGTCCAACTCATGAATCATGTGTACAAAATTTTAAATCGCACATTCCTACTGGACACGGTACTCTAAGATTAAGTATGTATGGGTGAAATTGGAAAAGGCCTATACGCGCCGTGTTACAAATGCCCCTATGCTGTGAGTTGGGGGGAAACAATATGAAGTTATACTTACAATGGCTACTGCATACTCCATCGCTGTGGTTTTACAGGGTCATATTTACCTCCTTGTGATAAGGATATAGGCTACTTACCCCCTCGTGCTCTCTAAAATATTGTGAATTATTCTCACCAGTAAGGGATGCTTAATATCGTTAAGAGATATTTCTTTTTTTATTCAACCACCTAAAATTGGTAAATTGTCTGAAAAGTGTCTTAACAGCATTAATGTTTCACCGAACCATTTAAAATCAACCTCTCATGCATTTAAATTTTTGTTTCTGATGTTCTAAAGTTCCCCTGAAAATAATTAATACAATATGTTTCAGAATTTATAGTAATATTGTGTAGATTTTGATATTTTGTTAGTTCTTTTCTGAAAAAAGATATAACTGGGTTTAGCTTTATGGAGAGCACTAGAGCTCTTAGAAACCTACATAAATAATACTGATATTTTGGAGATATGAGTTTTACCATTTGTACTTTTAGGAACTTGAAGTTGAAGATCAACATAAACCAAATGAAAGAGTATGTGAGCTTGAATATGGAGTAAAAAAAAATCGACATAATAATGCCTGTAAGAGACTTAGAGATTGTTTGGATTCGGGATAAGGATGTTTATCCTGGTATAAGATTAAGTATTAGTTATACAACGTCTGGATTTCGATATAAACTCTGCATTTCTAATATAATCTCCGTGTAGCTAATACAACATTTGACTTCCGACCGTCATATTATAAGTACCGCTTAATGTAAGCAATTCCTACATAACAACCTCTACTTTATTCACCGTATATCAAATCATGCATAATTATTCATCAGGTAACAACCCCTACATTATTATTCAGTGCATAAGGAATCCTTGTATATGCATAAATAAATCATAAGCCAAATGAACCTTACTAGTAACAGTTTAATCTTTTAACAAAATAGAAAGAATAATGGTATTAGTCATGATTTAACTGAGAGGAGATCATTTGCATAATGTTTCATACAAGAACTAGGTAATTAGTTATCTCCTCATAAAGCGGAGGGGTTATACACAAGTTGCTAAAAACAGGTAATAGCAATGGCTGTCTGAAGCTGCTATTTCTTGACTTATATTATATGTTTTGAGTCTACAACAGGGGGTCACTCTGAAGGAGGTCTAGTCCACTCAGGGGTGGAACCCAACTTTAAGAAGATTATTACATGGACTGGGAGGTGTCGAGGATAAAGNTGGCATTCACCCATTAGCCATCACCACCAACAACTATCATATTTTTAAAAACTATATATTTTATTGATAGAATATTACATTAGTTAGTATTTCATTTGAATTTTATGTTTATTAATTTTCAAATGAAGATAAATTTTTTTTTTGTTTTTTAATAACCGCGGTGTCCGGGCCAGCTTGCGCGCACCTCGACTAATTCCATGGGATACCTGCCACCTCCCACCAGCAACAGGTACCAGATAACTCTATCCACCAAGGTTTGGATAGATGGGGCTGCAAGAGGGTATAGATACACTGAGATGGCAAAATCATTCGAGTGGAGTTTATACAGTTAGTTCAGCTTATAAAAATTTGAACCAGGTAGGATCTTAGCTAACACTTTGGCCATGGAAACACATTTGGAAAGTAAAGGTGCCATATCAAGTGGCATGCTTTACTTGGTTGGTAGTTAGAGAAGCTGTTCTGACTCAGGACAATCTCAGAAAAAGAGGAATACAACTTTGTTCCAGATGTTACTTGTGTGGGCAGGATGCAGAGACAATCAGTTATCTGTTTTTACATTGCACAACTACTAGACAGCTATGAGATTTGTTCATTAATCTCAGACGTATAAAATGGGTAAAGCCTGGTAGTACTTCTAAAGTTTTGACATGCTGGACTATAGGGGGAAATTGTGACAGGAACGACAGATGGAAAATTATCCCGGCAAACATTTGGTAGACAATATGGAAGGAAAGGAATTCAAGGTCTTTTGAAGATACAAGCAGTACTCTACAGAAGATTAATATGAATTGTGTTTTTCTCCTTTGTTTTTGGTGTAAATCTGAATACACAGATGATCCTGAGGATATTTTGGATGTATTAGGTTCCTCGTAAGAAGAACAAGGTTTTAGTTTCGTACTATTTTGGTGCTCTGCTGTAACAACCTATTTTGGTTTCCAGGACAATCTTTGTGCTGATGTCTTTATATATACATTAACATGTTACCACTCTCAAAAAAAGTAATATGTAATAAATCCTTTTTATAATTAATAAAACTTGGTTAATAAAAACAAGAAGGAAGAATCTAAGGACGAGTTCATAATATTCTCTGTTATTTCAAAGGCTTGGGTTTCCGACAAATGGAGTTCAAGGAGATGGGTTGGACATGATCTCTAATTCAGAGGAGAGGATAGGGATTCTAGTAAAGAACATATGGACATTGATAGATTCTGTTAATACCTATTGAAAACAAAAGTTAGAAGTAATAGTAAAATTTACTATTACTTCTAACTTTTGTTTCCAATAGATATTAATACTTCTCTGTTTTCTCAGAATGTTTTTCTTCTTTTCTTTTCCCTTTTTTTTTTTTTTTTTTGAGAATGGTAACGAGTTTTATTACCTTAGCTTGGCTACATTCTCTGACCCTTTATTACCTTATAGNTTCTTTTCCCTTTTTTTTTTTTTTTTTGAGAATGGTAACGAGTTTTATTACCTTAGCTTGGCTACATTCTCTGACCCTTTATTACCTTATAGATGTACTAACATAACCTTAAAAAAATAGTGAGTGAAAAAGATGAAATTTCTGGAGCATAGCTTATAGAGTACCAAATATGGCTGATGCAACAATGACTTCATGGAATTGCTCCATCTCCTTTAGATCAGCTGCATCGATGTCAAATCCCGTCCGATCACCAGGTCTACAACCTTTGACAAATCTGACCCAAATATATCAGCGATGGGAAGACTTTGGAAAGAGGACAAAGCACTAAAGCCAACAAAAATACAAGTCACTGTGTCAAGATGATAAGTGCAACTTACCCGCAGTGCACAGTCATTGACTCTTTTATGTCAAAAGAAGCATTCCTCTCCTCCAAAGAAGGGTACCCGCCAAATTCAGAACCCCCGTGAGGTTCAGTCTTCATGGGAATTTGCTCGTGGAAATAAGTTAAATGCTGAAGCCCAGGTGACGCTGATGGGACTCTAGGCATACGAGCTATCGCTTGCTCCACAGGAATGTAGCATACAGGACATGCTGAATCAAAACGAAGGAGAGTATAACCAAGAGTACGACATTACGTAAAGGGTTGATTAAAGCAAAAGATAGAATACAAATGCATGAGACCAAATAACAAATAAGATCCAAGTTTGAAACAGATGAGTTTTATACTTACGGCGAGGCCCAATTCGCCTCCTATCACCAGGTGGAGGAGGGGGAAATGCAAAGTTTCGACAAGGATCAGGAAAAGCAATGGAATCTTTAGCCAATATCATAGCTGAAGCATTGGGAGGAGGCAGCTGGGCAGTATTCTCACCGCATACCATAACCTTCCTGGGCAATAATGCAGATAGATGATATGTGTTGTTTTCAAACCACTCCTTGAAGTCTAATTCAGAACTCCTTGATGCGTCATCTAATAATAGCAAAAATCTTGTATGAAAATCAGGAAATCCATCGCATAACAAACTACATTAGTGACTTCAGAACTAAGTAAAATGCATTATATAACTGGTGGTGGTTTTGCCGCTTTTCACAAAAGAAATGAGGAGGCAAGCACCAGTGAACCACACCTACCATAACATTCCTTTTTCTCTTTTCTGGATCTGGACATGAAATAGATCGATACTCCAAAAACGCTCAAAGAATAAAGACAAAGTAAGAGTAAACTAACAACTTCGGTGCAAATCTATGACTGCAATAATAAAACAAATAACTATGACTCTATTTAGTGCGGTTCAACAGGGGATAGATAACTACCCATTCCGGCACCCCATCCCAAGGAAAATAAAATTATAAAAGCTTTAATTTTATTATCAAATCATTATTCCCATTAACAAGTGAAGAGATGTTAACTTATGACTTCTTCCAAACAGGGCCTCTTACAGAGCAGGCACTCGAATTTAACTATATATTTAGCAAGCACTGGATTTATCCATGTCTCGCCTTATTTGTTTTATTTATTCACTAAATTTCAAATTGATTTTAGGTTACACTGATAGAGCCGATGGTAAAGAACAAGGCGTCGTGCTTTTCTTCAATAAATTAGAAGTTACAACATCAGAAGCCAACATACAGTAAAAATCCAATGCTCTCAGAATCAAGTCCAATTGAAAATGAAGACTTAATTCTATTCATTGCAATTACTCAACCTTGTCTCTCTAATTCCTTTCTCAGCAGGCTGCATCTTATGTATCTTGTGCAGGTGTATTAATACCAACATTTTCATTTTAAATGTTGTTTCCTTCACCTATCCAAAATCAACAATTTGTTCCTACTAAGAAAGATACTAGAGCCAACAATGCATGCCACCCTTTCAGAACAATTAAAGTTACTAAAGTTTACATATAAATAGATCCCTATCCAAATGATAGATCCCTATCCCGATCAAGGGCGGAGCCACAATGCTGATTGAGGGTTCGGCCGAACCCAGTAGTTTTTGTTCAAACCTTGTATTTGCAATAAGAAATCCAATGAAAAAGTACAAATTATTAATTAAGAACCCAGTAACTTAAAAGAATTATAATCCCGAAACCCATAAGGTTAAAATACTAGCTCCGCCTCTGATCCAGATGATATTCCACAACAAAGAAACCAAAAGGACTTCAGGAAACTGACCTTTATTAACCATCGAAAATCCTGCAACAAAAGCCAAGAGCGCAAATGCAACCAAAATCAGCATTCCAACCTGCCTTCGCACCAAAAACCTGCAAATAGAGGGAAGACATCTTTCCTTCTCTCTGGAACCGGAAAGTGATGTCTTTGGAGTTTTACGCAAGACGAACGAACTCGGAGAGTGCAAAACTCCATTTTGTGCCAGTTGCTGCAACGACCCATCGCTTCCTGTCCGAAGACCCAATGACCACCCAGTCATTGTTCCTCCGACCACACAATAACAACTACTTTCATCTCTTTCTTCCTTCTCCAAAAAACCCTTTCATTAACTATACACCACAACTCTTCACAACGTAAAACTTCTCAAAGTAACACTCACACTTACTGTTTCATCTCTGCATCTTTCTGAGATCGTCAATGTTGTACCGAGGGCTTCTTTAACCAAATCAGTACAAATATAAGTCTTTCCGCCTTTTGCAGCACCAAATCAATCAGAAAGCGAATTCACTACCTATACTATAATAACCAAATAACACTTAACTAAGTCTAACTCCAATTAAATAAGGCTTCTAAAGAGTAACAAATTCTCAATGTCATGATCTCAAAAGCAGAACCGAATAACTAAAACCAATAACAAACTAATTCAGTGAGAAGAGAAATCGCCTGATTTACTAATGAATTAAAATTAAAAAGATACTCCAACAAATATACTACTGATACGTCATGAATAATGCAGTAGAAAACTTTGTAAAAGAATTCGAATCTGGACCGGAACAGATCAATTTCGACTATAAAACGATTAGCCCAAAGAGGAGGTTTAACGATTATATTACCTGAATCAGAAGTCCAATTTCAAAATTTTCTGACTTGTTGTAGAATCCAATAGGGCTTGAAAAGGAAAAAAGGGAGAGCATAAAAAGTTTCCTATTTGGGGCTGCTTGATCTTCTCTCTCTACGCCTCTTCCTCCTCGGCCTGTTTCTATTTTATTCCCTTTTGGTCTTTTTTTTTTGCCAAATTTGATGCGAGTTCATACTTTTGTTCAAAATATCCCTTTTGTTTTGCACCCGAAAAAAAGAAAGAAAGAGAGATCACCATAAGCCTTACAGCCAGTTTCGCGAATCTGAAATAATTTTATTTTGAGAAATATTTTTTCCAAAAAACATTTTAAGAAAATATTGTGTTTGGATAATCATTCTACACAGCATTTATGACTAATAATTTATGTTTTGCCAATCTTTTCAAAAAGTATTTTTAAGTATCAAATTACGAATAAGAACATGAATAGATTTATTCAATAGTTAATATTATAAGTAAGTAAATAATCTTAAAAATTTGTTATTAAAGACAATAATTAAATTATTTTATTTTATTTAAGTAAAATATAAAAATAGAATTAAAAAGTACTTTAATTCTTTTAATATGATTTAAATATATTAAAAATTATTCAACAAATATAAAAATAATCACCTCTAAAGTTACTATATATATTAGAAAGTTATCCTAAAAATAAAAAGAAATACTTATACATTAATATCCTAAGTACTATGTTTAATAAGTAAGGTTATTTTGGCGTATATCATATTTTGTTAAGGGTATTTGTGGTAAGAAGAAAAGTCAAAACTGATTTTGCTTCTTCCCAAAAGCACCCCCAAATAGTTTGGCGAAACACCTTAAACTAAGAAAAAAATTGGCCAACATGCTATTATAAATCAAAGTTGTAGAATGGGCTTGTAAAAACGTAACAACAACAACAACAACAACAACAATAACCCAGTATAATCCCACTAGTGATTCTAGGGAGGGTAGTGTGTACGCAGACCTTACCCCTACCTTGAGGTAGAGAGGTTGTTTCTGATAGACCACCGGCTCCCTCACTCCAAGAACTCCCCACCTTGCTCTTGGGGTGACTCGAACTCACAACCTCTTGTTTGGAAGTGGAGGGTCTAAAAACGTAAGTGCGACTTAAATGTAAACGCGACCATAAATCTCATTGCATAATTATCAATCCCAATAACCTAATGCAATTATGAAGATCTCTTTTCTTTCTTTCTTTCTTTTTTTTTTTTTTAAACAAAAGGGATATTTACATGATTTTATCAAACCACAATAACGTTATCAAAAATAAGCTCTCCCTTTTTACTTTTTTTATCGTATAGTTAATATGATTATAACCAGGTAAGTAGAGTAAGAAAAAAGTTACTCTTAAAACTATAATTCTACCATCAAAAAATATAAAGATGAATCGGATCACCCTTAATCATTGTTTAACCCAAAAACTACTTTTAGAATAAATAATTGAATTTGTATTTTAAGATCACAAGCAAACATATTAATCCAAAGTGCATATCATAAATCTAAGAATAATAATGATAAATAAAACGAAGATCAAGATGAGAGAAATCTTATTGATCGTTGGCCTTGAGGTAGTTGTGTAGAAATGGAGTACAATTTCATAAGAGAGAAACTTGCTAATGAACAAAATAAGAATACAATGAATAATCCTACAAACGTTACTTGCAATCGGATGTGTCTTACAAATGAACTAAATGGGGTATTTATAGCCTAAATGGGATGAGGTTGTTTCAAGTTCTTAACTTGCATGTTCGGTATACAGTTAGTGGGGTAGCGAGATCCTCTCCAACGGTGACTATAATTGTGCAGCCTACGGAGACCACGATCTCAGAAGAGCTTCCAGTACAGTTGAGTTCGGCATCGAAATTATTTGACATGCTCCGGGTACGTGCCCCTTTGGTTGACCTTATTTCGAGTTGAAGAGGCGGTCACGATTACAGTTTATCTGCTCCCAGATCTTGTCTTCCATGCTCATGGGTCCAGAACCACTTTCACCACGTGTCACTATTTTGTTGTGCCACGTGGTAAGGCCTAATTTTACAAATACAGATAGTCCCTGCACTTGTCGAGTAGTTCTCCGAGAAGTACCCGAGAAGGGAAAATCCTTTAA